TTTTTTCTTATTTTCAACATCTACTATCACTAGTCACAAACACATAAAAGCTTTCTCTTAAATCGTCTTACAGGCAATGTCTTTGGTGTTCATGGCGATTCTATCATATTTTTTAACAGAATTTGCTCGACATGAAAACAGATTTATGTGCTTAGATAACTGCTAAATTTTGGTTGAGTTGAAGACTTGACTTATCTTGTACGCGACACCAAGCGTTTGCGGTTATTAAGCACCAGTTTGACCAATGAACTCAAATTTGTGGCACAATAGACTTTAAGCATATACATTACATACCATAAATTGAAGCAACTGTAAATTATTTGCTCAAATAAAAATCCGAAATATTTTAAAACAAATATTAGGCCTTAAGACAGGAGTTGAATGTAAGAAAATATATAATATAGATGATCGAACTAACGCCAGGCACAAATAAAACAGCACTGCTGTAAAAAAGGAAGTGTAATCTTAAAAAAAAAAAAAAAAAAAAAAAAAAAATTGTTGAAATTGAGCACGAATAAGCCTGAACATACCTAAAAATTAAGTTAATATTAATTAACCGTAAGGAAGCTTCGTCTCTGAASCAAAGAATATGCGTATGTGTGTGTGTGTGTGGCAATTGTTTTGTGCGTGTGTTTCAGCGCTACACAAGCTGCTTCGCATTTGGACGAATGTGTCATGCCTCATTGTCATGTGCCATGCATAACATAAATCAGTTACACATCATACCAAACCAACAACAACAATACATTTGCATACAGCAAGTTTAGCAATACATTATACATTAAAGCCGAGTTTTAATTCACATAAAGTGCACATAACGACTCACACACGCACACCTTGGGCTTAAGATATTTGCGGATTTCGCTCATTAAATTCAGACACAAGCTGCTGCGCCGCCCGCACCGATACACAGTCACACATGTGAAGCGCGTGCTTAGCCATACAAATACATTACATTTGCCACCCACAGCACACACATGCACAAACACACAGACGCACTCAAAGCGCTAGGCAAGAACTCGCAAACATTCGCCAGACAAAAACAAAAACGAAAACAAAACGATTCTCTCAACCTCCTCCTTCAATCTATCGACTTTAAATTTGTTGAACTTAATAAACACAATAACAAAAAACAAAAAAAACAAAGAAATGAAATAAATTCGCTAAATAACATAAGCAAAATTCCCACTCCCTCTGTGTCCCCCCTTCTTTAATGTGCTGCGATTCTGTTGCTATCCACCACACTGTGCTACGGAAATACAACTCAACTGAACTCAATTACCAACAACAACAMCACCACCAACAGCCACACCGCTCTCCACGCCAGCCACCTCGCCATGTGGCACCAAGTATCAGACCTACTCGTCCATCTTCTTTGCCAACTTCAAGGAGCAGCAGGAGAAGGAGCGACGCGAACAGCTAGCTGAGCAACAACAACAGCTGCAGCAGCAGCAGAAACAACAAAAGAAGCTGCGCAGCAATGTGCGCCTCTGTCGCGAAACTGCCATTAACAACAACAACACCACGAATACCGGTTACGCCTCGAGTAGCGGCGACGCCTCCGGCGGCGAGTCCGACGGCAACGGCAATCAGTCGATTGAACGCGAACGCCACTTGCCCGCCTGCGACATGCAGAAGGRCTTGGATGATTTGGACTTYGTGGCGGAGCCGGAGGTGAGCGTCAATGGCACAKCATACACGAGCGCGCAGAAGATGCGCATCACGGAGAATCCACTGCCGGAGGCTGTCAGCTGTTAAACGCAAGCARAAGTAAGTTACAACACCTGAAGAAYCCAGTGAGCGTGCGTTAGAAGTAAGGAAAGGCAGCGTAAGTTAACGCAAAAGTAAGTGAAATGTTGTGRAAGTGTAAAGTAGCGTAAGAAAAAGCGAAGCTGCGACGTGTGCGTAGTAAAACTATACCATACAAGAATTGCTGCGTTTCTTCAAGCCTCAATTGAAGACGTGCATCATTGCGCTCAGAAACCGATTGTAGTGAAATAAATTGCRTATTAAAACTAAAATAGAAAAAACACAACTTTCGTAAGCGGCATTAGTGTATGCGCGCATTTGACATCAACAAGCTGCTGAGGCCGCGCCATGCGCCACACATACATACGTAAATGCAATGAATCAACAACGAGCGAATTAACACTGCTGCAGCCGACACCGCCCATAAATATGTAGAAACCAAAAATTATTTTTTTTTATTAGAAATGACTTTGTTTTATTATAATTATACTCAGAAAAGAGAAATGAGATGTTAGAAATATAGTTAAGCAGATTCTTAAATGTTATCCCACTATTTTGCCTTGGCCGAAAAWTAAACAAATATTTATTTTTCTAGTAAAGTTAACTTTTCAAGTATTTTGAAAATTATGCATAAAAATAGCTTACTTTAAACAAAAGTGCTGAGTATAAAATAAAAGCAATAAAATTTTGTTTTAAAGTTTAGTTTTAGTAGAATAATGTCATAATAATTACACTGTAAAAAATATTGTTTTGATATTATTTTTCAAAAAACTATTAGCGATAATTGGCATATTCGATTTAAAAAATATTGTCACAAAAGATTCGCAAAAGAGAGGATGTTAGCTAGCATTGCAATTATAAGCAAAAAAAATTAAGTAAAAGTAAACAAATTAACCCAAAACCATAAAAAAAAAAAATTAAAATTTCGGCTGAAGAGCTTAGTTTTGTAAATTTGTGAAACATAAACAAATTTATGCAAAATATTCCCATTTTATGAAAAAAAACTAATTTTCTTAGCAGCAACTCTTCATTCGATGACCGACATGGCGTATACGCAACACAAGCATTTACCACGCAAGCAGTGCAGTCGCAAAGTGGATTTTGATTACAAAAACTCACGGTAAATAACAAATTAATTATGTTCTTTCAATGAAAGAAAATTTAAGAAATTTTAGCCTTTTTTAAATTAACTTTTAATCCSTTTTTGGCATGTAATAATGTTTAATAATTTAATTAGACATTTAATAAGACAACATGCATTCTTAAGATATTGGATATAATATCTGTTTCTTAATGTTCACCATAGTTCTAATTCTATCTGTCATTTATCTCCTCAATCCGAAAATAGCTATAATCTATAGAGAAACAATTTAAGAAAGCAACAACCTTAGAAAATCTACTGAATATGTACATAAATGTACATATGTATATCGTCACCTAAAATGCAAAACAACGTGCAAGCAAAAAATTCGAAATTGAGTTTTTTTATTGGTT